AATTCTATTAAAGATCTTTGTTTATTAGTATTTCCATCAGTACTCAATATACTCCATTTTATTGGTTTAGATGTATTTCTAAGCGAATAAGTTAGACATTGGGAAAGATAAGCAGTTTCGAGTAGTGGCAAGGTCAAGCTACAGTCCTACTACGTGACAAAAATATGTTACTGCTTCATCCAATCACCGCATGCAGTTTGTCAACCAGTTCAACATAGTCAGCACGCAGTTTCCAATTTAAACAAAGGTGATCCGCGAGTTCAGAGCGTAATTTCAATTACTTGTGAAGTAAGAGAGAATTTGGCCTTTGCTTTTATTTCGGGCCTCCTCTGGGAAACGAGTGAGACTTTGCTGCATTGAACATTCTTCAAGAACGCTAATGTTTTATGTAATAATTAGAAACAGGGGATGCTTTATTCTTCTTCTTACAGCGTTAAGCGAGTCTATTGTGTATCGAGAATGTAATAAATGTATTGAAAAAAGTTGTATGAGGTTTAAAGGAGTAGATGGATCAGTATATATACGAGTTATTTTGATAGTGTGGCGTAGAAAAGGCCACTTGGTAAAGTCTCACTCGTTTCCCAGAGGAGGCCCGAAATAAAAGCTAAACCTTTGAATTTAATAAAATATGTTACACCTTTAATACGCTAGGCGGTTTTATGAGAAGCTTCGTTTCCTCTGAAATGGAATAAGTTCCTGTTAAGATGACATTCGTTGAAACGCGTGATTATTACTCCAACATATCAACTTACTTGCAGCGATTTCTTTCATTTTAGTATCTCTACATTTACTGTTTCTGTGAGTGCATAACGGTTTTCTCTTCGTATATATACTTCAAAAGATTTCACCTTCTTGCTGTGTGATGTTCGTCACCTAGTGGACGTTTCAAGAAAATCAAAGTTGAATCACCACGTGAACGTGTACGCAAAAATCGTTAGAACTAGGCTGATTAACTGTTGTTAATCAAAAGCTGCACAATGGACTATCTCTGTTGTACCCATCGTTGGGATCGAACCCCAAAATTTTGCCTTACGAATCCTCAAACTTACTGGTGAGTCAATAGGGGTTATCTAGTTAGAAATAAAATAGTAACATTATATATATATATCTCGCAAGGCTCTTTATGTGGCATTAAAACAAATTATTTAACAAAGAGCATCAATAAAAATATCAATAAAATTGCGAAAGAGACATTTCTGTAAATGTCCATGACTTTCAAGCGTTGTAATGTTACGATCACTCACACTAGTCGTTGGTAAAGAGTAGCTTAAGAGTTCGCGGTGAGTGGTGTTGACCAGCTGCCTTCCCTCTAGTCTACAACTTCAAATTGGAAACGGTTAGCGCAGATAGAACTCGAGTAGTCTTGCGTGATATTCAACAGACAAAGAAATAAAGTGATTTTCGGGCCGATAATAACAAAGTGTGTATCTCGGGTCATAACAGAGTCGAAACGAAAGTTGGCTTAATCGCTTAATTTGATTGTTCTTATTGATAACATAGAAAACGTTAAAGACTATCAAGCTTGCTATTTTTTCAAACTTCTGTTTAATTAAACGTCATAATAATACAACAATAATTTAAAATCATGCAATAATACAAGAAAATAATACTTTTGATGTGTTGTACAAAAACTCAATATCCTCGTGATATGCCTAATTAAGTATGTGTGTAATAATAAGATTCTCAATAAACTGAGAAGAAGACGCGCTTGTCACAAATGTTTTTATTTTTTAAAAGATTATGGAAACAATAAAATAATATCGCGAAAACATTTGTGCATAAACAACCAAAATGTTAAAAATCAGTCATAACCTAGTGTGCCCGTAATGACTCAGCGGTAAGTCTCTGGACTGAAGATGCCAAAAATCGGGTTTCGATACTCGTGGTGCACACAGCACAGGTAGTCCATTATGTAGCTTGCGCTTAACAACAAACAAACAAAATCTAGTGGAACGTTTGAAACTCCTGATTGTCTATGAAACCGTAAAGAAGATCGGGATGAATAATTCAGGAGTCTAAATTTGTGATTGTATATGTCTGGAAAATTGATTATTAAAGATCTAAAGTGTTGGCAATAAGGGTCCAGAATAGTAGTGATAGAAGTCCAGAATGATGGTGAATGTTTATGTTAAAGTTTTAAATTGGTGAGTTAAAGGTCCAACATTTTATTGTTTGTAACGGTGATGATAGAAGTCCAGAATGATGGTGATATTGGACAAGAGTGTTTATGATAAGGTTTTAAATTGGTGAGTTAAAGGTCCAACATTTTGTTGTTTGTAACGGTGGTGATAGAGGTTTAGATTGGTGGCGATAATTGGCAATAATGTTTGTGATAAAGATTTGTGTTAAAAGTTTGGAATGTTGTTAAGAGAGATATGAAATGCTGGTGTATGGAGTCCGAATTTATGATGATAAACGTCCATGTAGTTAGCTATAGGAATCCAGAATAATGAAAATAGGGCTCCTAGATATTGATGATAAGGGTCAGGAATGTTGTCTGGAACAGTAAATTGCAACAGGTTTTAGCCGTTTATATCACAACACCTTTTGCTTAATTGATCTGTCTGTCTAGTACAGATGGGAAAATACCCAAAGAAACAGCGTCAACAGCTAGCATACTTGCTATATAATTACCGTATGTATTCAACTTATAAAGAAAGCACCCCGAAGAAACAATAGCAACAGCTAGCATACTTGTTACATTCAACTTATACTGTACTTTATATAGTTTCAAAGAAATGCAGAAAAAACAGTGTAGTAATAGTATAAATTCAAAAACATGTTATTAACAAGAAAGGTTGAGCGTTTGCCCAATAATAAGAGCACAGAACTGTGAATCCAATGTTCACATTCCGTTACCGCACAAAAACCTAGAATTGTTATGTTTTTGGTATGTATCAGAATTTTCGCGAAATATTCACGCTAGCCATTTGGCCACGCCCAATCCAATAACTTATGTTATTGTACAAGACTGTGAGTCCTAGGTTCAAGTTTGTGTCCTGTTATTGCAAAAAAAAACGCACTTTGCACGTTGGAGTTATGGGTATGTCATAAGAGTGATGGTCAAATCCACTATTCGGTGAGACAAAAGTAGCCAGCCCTCCAGTAGCACAGCGGTATGTCTGCGGACTTACAACGCTAGAAACCGGGTTTCGATACCCGTGGTGGGCAGAGCACAGATAGCCCATTGTGTAGCTTTGTGCATAACTTCAAACAAACAAACAAACAAAAGTAGCCCGAAAATTGGCAGTGTATGCTGTTAACTAACTGTCTTCCTTCTGGTCTATCATTTCAAAGTTATGGATGGCTAGAGCAGATAGCTCTCGAGTAGCTTTGAGAGAATATCCAAAATCAAACAAACAATATTAATTAAAATAATGCACTCCGACTTTTGAATTACTGACTCGTCAAATTTTCTACTGCCATTTAGTAGAATGTTTGAGGTTAATCATAGTACCAATTAATCTGTACTTTTATTGAGTGAGTCTATGCAAAAATAATTGCTGAACGAAAGACGATGTCATTTTATATCATCTCTTCAAAGTCAAGGACTATTCAAACAGAATAAATTATATACACACATACAAATACAGTGTTTGCAAGATGCATGTTTTGACATTTTTTAGGATTGGGATTTATCCAATCCATTTGCAAATCAAAATGAATCATAAGGAAAATGAGGTGCAGACCTGTGCTTAAAGTAATACCATTGAGATTGAGTCATGGATATTAAAACAAATATTTTATAGACAATCAAGAGAATCTGCTCAGAAAGGAGCCGTTACTTCGCTGGATCATAGTACTTTAAAGTAAACACTGCTGTTTAATTGGTTTGTTTGGAATTTCGCGTAATGCTACACAAGGGCTATCTGCGCTAGCCGTCCCTAATTAAGCAGTGTAAGGCTAGAGGGAA